AACCAGAACAAGGGAATGCGCGCGGGCGTACTGTTCGCACCCACGGGCACCCAAGGCCGCGGGCGGGCGGGCGGGCTTTTCCTTCGCGTTGCAGACGATCATCGCCACCTAGAGGTCGTGAGGCTCGCACGCGTGCAGCCCGTTCGAATCCCGAAGCGCGGGCGGCCGCTTGCAAGGGGCGTGTTCGGTCAGTCACCTGCGCCCGTAACCGATCGCCAATCACGCGCGAATCACGGGAATCACGGGCGGAATTAAGGCCCATTTCGAAGCCTGGAACGGAGGGCCACGGGACACGGGACCTGGAGCGGTGTGCCCCGAGTGCCAGCAAGTCAACATCCGTCCTTCCCAACGAGCCACAACCACTGGACACTCGTGCCCACCTCCGCATCACAACTCGGGCCCTCTTGCCACCTTGCGACATGCCCACCCAGCGCCACAATAACCTGGACACTCAACTCATGCCCACCTTGCAACATGCCCCACCTCCCGCGCCACAGCCTGGACCCCCCACCACAACATAGATCCCCATGCCCACCTCCCGCGCCAAAACAACAACCCGAGCCCTCATGCCCCCTTGCACATGCCCACCAAGCACCACAACCTAGATCCTCAGCCACCTCGATCCACAACTAGACCTCAGCCCACCTCCCGCGCCACAACACCCGAGCCCCTCACGCCACCTTGCAACGTGCCCACACGCTCCACCAACAACGCCCCCTCACGCCCACTTGCAACGCGCCCAATCCCCCGCTCCACAACCTGGACCCGAGGCAAACTCTGCGAGAAACAGGAACACAACCTGGATATAACGGCCCGCCAAGGTTAACTAGTTCACCGATCACACAACTTCAAAAGATCGCCATTAACGCTCGCCACCTTGTTGCAGCTCCACGCTATCTCTCCTTCCCATGCTCCCTTCATCGCGCCTGCTCTCTCTTCCTCCCTCCTCTCCCTCTACTGTCGCTCTCTCTCCTCCACCTCCTCTCTCAATCCATCGCCCATCCCTCCTCTCTCTACATCGTCGCCTCCTCTCTCCTCCTCTCCTCTCTCTCGTCTCCTCTCTCTCCTCCTCCTCTAAACACCATCCTCACCACTCCTCTCCTCCTCTCCCTCCATTTCTCTCCATCGCCTCCTCTCCCTTTCATTCACCATCACTTTCGCTCTTTCCTCCATCCACGTCCGCCCTGCTCCACGACCACTTAGAACCATCTCTCTCTCTCTCTCCTAAATCTCCACCAACATATCCATTCCTCCACCAAACTCCCCACCACTACATCTACGCCCCCCCTCCCTCCTCCCTAAACCTTCCCCCCCCACCTCCCAACCACTCCCCTCCTCCACACCCACCCAACCACCGCCCCTAACCATCCCCTCCCCCTCCCCACCCACCACCACCCCCACCCCCCTACCCCGAGTTACACAAGCCATCCGTCCTCCATCGGACTCCCCAAGGTCCTCCTCCCCCCCTCCCTCCCCCCCCCCCCCCCGACGCGCCCGCCTTGAAATCGCCCGACGGGTTCCTCTTTTCGGGTATGGAGGCGGGGGGGGGGGGGAGGAAAGAGAGAAAAGGATAGAGAGAGAGAGAGAGAGAGCGAGAAAGGAGAGAGAGAGGAGAGAAAAGGGGAGGGGGAGAGGGGGAGAAAGGGAGATAGAGGAAAATGAGAAGGAGAGGGAGAGGGAGGGAGGGGGGGAGGGGGGGAGGGAGGGAGGGAGGGAGGGAGGGAGAGGGAGAGGGAGAGAGAGAGAGAGAGAGAGAGAGAGAGAGAGAGAGAGAGAGAGAGAGAGAGAGAGAGAGAGAGAGAGGAGAGAGAAGAGAGAGAGAGATGAGAGAAGAGAGAGAGTAGGGGTATAAGTGAGAGAGAGAGAAACGGATGGCAGAGAAGAGAAAAGGGGAGACGGAGGGAGATGGAAAAAGAGATGAAGAGGGTGATTGAAAAAAGACCCGAGAGATACAGTTAACTGAAATAAAATCAGATAAACATGTAAGGAGATGAAAGTAAGAACGACAGGCAAGACATTTAGGCAGACAGAGACAGACAGACAGACACGACACGACACGACACGAATGCACCGAGACGGACAAACAGCATCCCCCCAGCTAGGTCATTCTAGGCCACCCCAAACCCTCTCCCTCGCCTCCACCACCACCACCCCTCCCCCTCCCCCTTCCCCCCTCTCCTCCCCTCCCCCCCCTACCCCGCCCCCTGACCCCGCCCCACCAAAAATCCCCCCACCCCCTGCCCCCAATCCTCCTCCTGACCCCCGCTCCCTCTGACCAAATATCGACGAAAACCCGCGCCCCCCCCGCGCCGCCCCCCCCGACTTTCTCTCCGTGTTAATTGGGTTTTCTCCCCCACCTTAACACACGTGCTCCAGCGCCGCTTACACCAGTTTTGCGCACACTACCCGCCGAAAGCAAAATTTGGCGGCGCGAATGTGTGGTCAAGCTGCCGTCGTTTTCCAGGGAGAAAGGAGGGAGGGAGAGGAAGAGGGAGAGGGAGGGGAGCAGTGAGAGAGGAGAGGGAGAGGGAGGAGGGAGGACGGGAGGGGAGGGAGGGTGAGGGAGGAAGAGGATGGAGGGGAGGAGGGAGAGGAGAGGGAAACGAGAAGGAGAGGAGAGAGAGAGAGAGAGAGAGAGAAGAAGAGAGCGAGGAGAGAGAGAAGAGAGAGAGAAGAGAAGACGAGAGACGAGACGAGAGACAGAGACAGAGACGGACAGAGAGCAGAGAGAGAGAGAGAGGAGAGAGAGAGAGGAGAGAGGGAGAGAGAGAGAGAGAAGAGAAGAAGAAGAGAGAAAGAGAGAAAGAGAAAGAGAAAGAGAAAGAGAAAGAAAGAAAAGAGAAAAAGAGAACAGAAAGAGAAAGAGAGGAAGGAGAAGAAGAGAGTAAAGACAAAGCAGAGGAGACAGAGAGAGAGAGAGAAATCGCCGTGGGCGTCGACCATGATCCCTACCAGACAAGAACCGAGGTTTCCCACGGACCTTTTAGTCGTTCCTTTTGTTTTGTCAGACCGCGTGAGCGTTCGTCTATCCATCTATCCTTCTTTCCGCTCATGTCTTTTGCTATTCTATCTTTTCCCCATATGGCTTTGGTTTTCTAGTATCATTTTCCCCACATTATAGCTATTCTATCTATCATTTTCCCCCATGATCTTGCTAATGACTGAATCTATCATTTTTCCAATTCTTTGCTAATCTTACTTCATATTTTCCAATTCTGTTTGACTATCTATCTATCATTTTCTCGCAATTCTTGAGGTGGATTTATGGAATAGAATGGAGTTTTCTAGGAAAAGAATTCTTGGGTTTTTTAGGTGCTAATCCATGAAGGCTATGGAAGCATTGTACTTTTTGTATCGTAATCCTGGTACAAAATCGCAGAGAACATTGACAATCTGAAGCACAGGGAAAGAGCCCCCCGCTCTCCATCCGTTGCCAATCTATCCACCCACAGTAGTGAACTAATGGCATACGGACCCTCTATCCGAGATCATTGCATTGGGATCCACGAATCGCGTTCGAACTGGAAGGATGAAAAGGCATTTCAATCCGGCCATATGCGACTCTTTCTCCCTCATCCTTGCTGCCGACTTTTATTACCTTCCCGGGCAGGAATCTCCCCATCCGAACACGCCACACCCCCTCCATTTTCGGCTTTTTCCTCGTCTCTCCCGTACATCACTTTTAACACATCGATCTTTGGCAGGGAGGGAAAAGGTCGGAAAGTTGGAGCCATCAACTGCTTCAGTTTTAAGATCTGCCAATCCCGCCCATTGCTTTTTTTCCCCACCAACCTTCCGCTCGCCATGTAACCAATCTTATTTTCCCCCAACCATGCTTTCTGTCCCATGTCTGGTCCATGCTTCGCGCGGCCATCTATCTATTTGTTTTTCCCCAATCCCCATCTTTT